GGATTAGGGAGAGAGGTGAGAGCAGGAAGGTTTAGAGGGGAGAGGAGAGGGAGGAAGGATTAGGGAGAGAGGAGAGAAGGAAGGATTAGGGGAGAGAGGAGAGGGAGGAAGGATTAGGGAGAGAGGAGAGGAAGGATTAGGGGGAGAGGTGAGAGAGGAAGGATTAGGGGGAGAGGTGAGAGAGGAAGGATTAGGGGGGAAAGGAGAGGGAGGAAGGATTAGGGAGAGGAGAGGGAGGAAGGATTAGGGAGAGAGGAAGAATTAGGGAAGAGAAGAGAGGGAGGAAGGATTAGGGAGAGAGGAGAGGAGAGGGAGGAAATAAGGATTAGGGAGAGAGGAGAGAGAAGGAAGGATTAGGGGGGAGAGGAGAGAGAAGGAAGGATTAGGGGGGAGAGGAGAGAGAAGGAAGGATTAGGGGGGAGAGGAGAGAGAAGGAAGGATTAGGGGGGAGAGGAGAGAGAAGGAAGGATTAGGGGGGAGAGGAGAAAGAAGGAAGGATTAGGGAGAGAGGAGAGGGAGGAAGGATTATGAGGGAAGGAAAGGGAGGAAGGATTAGGGAGGGGAGGAGAGGGAGAAAGAACGAACAAAGAATTATGGCTAGGGCAGCCCGTGTCTGCCGTGGCCATAATTAAGATGTTTACAATTAGTCTTTGCGTGGCTATCGACCACAAACATCCATTTGTTGCTAAACGCGGCGCCTTCTCAGATGACTTGGCGGTGAACAAACATTATAGCGCTATTTTGGAGGGGGAAAAGTAATTTTCTAGTTCTGCGAACAAAAAAGTGCACATTGACTCAACAACAAAAGGATTAAACTGCGTATTATAGCAAATACGTCCAATTTTACAACTAAAAACTATAGACACCCCTAGATTGCTGCAATTCTTCTAAAATAAAAACTAAAATGTATTCGGACGAACTCAAAGTTTCTTTAAAAAATATAAAATATTACCTATAACAAAAAAAAGACCTTATTTTGTTATAGGCCTAGAGTCCATTCTAAAGAGAAATATGAACATCTCCGTATCTACTTTCTCTGTAACTAGCTGACATTGTAACTATAAGGTGTGAAGGATAGATGAAATTGTTTATGTAATAATCTAAGATGAGGTCAGATAAAGACCTTTTGTGCCCTCTGTGATGCTTTTTGCGCTACCGCTCACAGGATGGGTATGGGGTGCACAATAAACTAGCCGCCTCCGGCGGCAACAATCAAAATGTCTCATTTTCCCTTCCATCCCGTGTCATGATAACCTTTTGTTTGGTAGTACTCACGTAGCTTGTATGCGTTCCGGGGGCTGACGGGGAGGGTGGCGGCCGTGTCACCGCTCCTGCAGGAGGTGCTGCGTAGGGACTGCACGTCCAAATCATCTAAATTAGGGTAGCGGTTAGTGGGCGGGCTGTCGGTGCCATTGGACGGGGCATACTCGGGGTTGGTGAAGCCGAGGTCCCCGTTCTCATCCCCATCTTGGTCACGGGAGGTCATCTTGAGAGTTAATCACACGTCACAACTTGCTGCAGTACCTAAGTTCTTCTGATAAGTTCATGGTAGTCCTACCGCTTAAACCTGACAGCTGCTCTTCACTGATGAAACATTTTTCTTCTGCATTCCTGAAAAAAAATAAAACGTTTAGTACAATTGAACAATACGGAAGCTTGAAACGTTCCCTTCTCCAAAAATGTGCTTCTATTTGTATATCTCGAGATTGACCTGCGCCATTTCTCTTCCTGATTTTCATTTTTTTTAATGTGTAGACCATCAAAACCTTTCTCCTGACACTTTAGCAAGACCTCCACCCACAAATTTATTTTCTCACGCAAAAAATATAACTTTTTATCGGGACACATCCAATGATAATGTCTTGCCAGCAACCTGTCGGCCACAGATGTTCAAATTTGTAATTACATCTTTCGTAATTGCAGGCTACGAAATCCTATTAACATACCCCCTAACCGTAGCCATACCTATCCTCATCAAATGAACACTCCAAAATTATAATAATTTTCCCGTGGTTTTATATCCATCATTAAAATATGTAGCCTATATTACAAGTCTCCATGCTGTTGTAAACACTCATTATATAGTAATGACCAACTTTTGCATTATTTGTCGCCTTCTCATGGAAAACGCGAAATTTTCAATCGAATAACTTATGCAATAACTAGGAATCACTAAATAAGAAAAACAGCTGTACGCAATTCTATCATAAAACTGGGTCAACTTTGAGTTAAAAATACCCGAGAAGCGTAGCGTATAACCTGCGTACAGGTTATCTGATGGTCCAACACGCTAGCCGCCCCAGTCTGGCAATAATTAGCCCGCGTCATACAGGTTACAACAAGCGAGACACGCAATGCAACAAAGGTAAAAATATTGAGGCTATAGTCAAGTGTCTCGCGGGTGCCGGTGACCTAGATCTTGCTATGCCATCAGGTCACTCATTACTGATTAATTACAACTGCATTTTGAGAACTGACTTATAATCGATTTAATCAAAATCCTGAAAGATGATACAAGCTAGATGAGCTAGATGATACAAGCTAGATGTATCATCATGAAAGATGATACAAGCACGTTAATGTCACTCCTCGTCTGCATATGATACAAGCTATTTATAATGATAATTGCCAAATATCAATTTAAAACGTATATATTTTTCTTTGTTCGGTTTGCAGGAAAATTCGAGATTTATTTTCTATGAACCGAGAGTGAGTTGCAAAGGACTTGGTCACGCAAAGGAATCAATTCTGACGTTATTGTATGAAATCACATCATTGTGTGAAAAATGTGACATCACTGTGTGAAGTCATGTAGCTGCAAAAGAGGCTACATTTTCATGCGTGGCCTTGTGTGTATGTGAAGGGAAGTGGTCTCAGCACTGACACTTTGGTTGCTATCTAGTGAGACATGATTAAAATATTGACTTCTCCGATGTTATTTTTAGTTTAATTTAGAGTTCATGCTTTGGGTGTACCCTGCATATGGCATACCATGTTTATTTAATACACTTCAATGTGCGGCTTCTAAATAATTTAATTTGTGTTGTTTAATGCCACAAAAACAAGCTACTTTCTTAACCAATTCCTAAAAGTAACTTTAGCGTCTGGCGGCCATTTTATAAAATGGTTGCGAAAGCTGTCCTGAGAACATTTTGGGGTGCACTTAAAATCCATATTTATTCACAAAACATTGATATATCTCTGTGCCATATTCAATGTTCACATCAACATGTACAACAGGGATTAATATGTCGCCCCATCATAATAAAAGGACACACTAATAATAACCAGGTCTTGTAATAATATTTGTTATGCTTTACCAATATTTATAGTAATTCATAGGCTATGCAAATTACTTGAAAGCGTCTTGTATTTAGCTTCATTTAAATTTTACAGAATTATTCAAATGTTATGGTATATTTTTGTTCAATATGTCTCGCCACACTAATTTTTTAAAATTAAATTAAGAGATTTTAAGATTAAATTAAGAGAGCTAAGAGATTTTAACGGGTGTACATCTGTTCAGTCTACCCACAACTGTACCAATTTGCATAAGTCACTGAAGAATAAAGCTTCTAAATAAAAAAAATGCAGTAATATGTTGGTATAGTGCCACGTTTAGCACAGTTTTCTGTTGGTTATTAACATTATTATTGTGTATTCATATTTAATCTCAAAATATGACTTTCGCTGCGTTTTGGCTCAGACACACGCTTTAGACGACTAGGCCACGACATGGTCGAAAGAATTGCAACCTGGGGTTCTGCTGAACCCCACGAGGATTCCCGAGGCTTTCACTGAAGCAGGACCAAGATTTCACACAATTCCCCCCATGTCATGGCTCTGTCGTCCAGGAATTCTACTTCTGATGCTTTTCCTTAAAACATAAAGTATTTACATACCAAGCACAAATAAACATCAAACAAGCATACACAGAAATCACAATAGCATGATGAATCAAATGAACAAATCCACAAGGGCCGTGACGAGGATTCGAACCTGCGTCCGAGAACATCCCAGAGGATGCTCACTTGAGGCTGCAGGATCCAAGTAAATTCAGTTGAATTTCTGGTTGCAATTTTTATACCATGTCGTAGCTCAGTCCATTAAGGCAGCGTCTGGGATGCTCTCGGACGCACGTTCGAATACTCGTCACGGCCCTTGTGGATTAATTCATCAAACAAGCACTTAAGACCGTAAGTGCACAGTAGTACAATAACACAACACTGTACACCAAACAGTTCCACAAACGGTAACTGAGAACAACAAGCTCCTCACACAAGTTCTTCTTTCATTTATAAAAAAAAATGTGCAATATACACAGAAATCCCGGGAAAACATAAACCAGTACAAAAAAACGGGGTGAAAATAGCTTGAGCTACCTCATCCCTTTGTGTGTATTTTACCTTAATAAACTTATTTCAATTTCAATTTCAGTACAAAATGAACACAAAAGACACGTTAAGAATAAAACACACAGGAACACAATATGTACAAAGGAAATAAACATTACTGTCACACGCGAAAAACAGTTAACTGAAAAACATTACACATACAAAACTGCAACATTTAACCCCAAAGTAACAAAGCAGGACCAAAGGGAACGAATAAGCAGCGCCTCACATTAACGAGGTAGTTACCCATGGCAACTTTTTTTCTTTGATTTATAACAATTACAAAAAAATACATATCAAAAAAGTAAAAACACACGAGTGAACTGACTTCACTCGTGTGAAGTCACAATCGACTTGAGAATGGTCCAGGACGGACCGAAACGTCGTCGTCCCTTCACCTTCTAGTGTGTGGTCTCGTCAACTTACTTTAGCCACGTTATTGTGACTCATCGCCTGCACACGAGTGAAGTTATCCAACCTATCCTCTTAAAAAGAACGTCACTTTTGGCCGTTTACCCGTATGGCCGAATATGGACGTAATTTGAAAATGAAAAAAAAAATAATATAAATTTGGGATTTTTTTTTCAACAACAATAAGTTAAGGGTCCTCTGATAGGTTAGGTGGGCAGGAAATTCTCATAAAGTTTCAAAACGTTATGAAAAACGTTAATGGAAAGAATCCTTTTCTAAGCTAGCCGAGTAAGCCGGACGACTCAAACAGAAAACAGAACCGTACGTCACTTTTGTGAGTCGATTTAATTTCAAATTACGTCCAAATTTGGCCATAGTGCACATACGAGCCAAAAGTGACGTTATTTTTAAGAGGACGAGTGAAGTTATCACTGTAAACAAGACAAACTCATGAAAGAGCTCCATGCATGCCTGCAAGGGTCAGGGAAACAGGCCCCGCACTGAAACTTCCAACTTCACAAAGTCGACTAAAGAAATCCAGAAACTTAGAACTACTACAATGGGCAAAACTAATAAACCTAGCAAACGAACACATACAAGTTATGCATCTGAAACACACAAACAAGCAAAATATTGAATCATCTACAATATACGTTTTCTGCCCGAAACGCTTTGCGTAATAGTGGCTTTAGGCATTGTATGTACTAGCTCTATCTATAAATCTATCAATTTTTGTAAAATCTCTTGTATGTATGTACCTTACCTGAATAAACATTTATTTATTTATTTATTTATATTCAAACATAACGAAGAGTAATACAGTCATGTATACTTTCACCATGTATACCTTCCCCATGTATACCTTCACCAAGCATCAATTGTATCCCCAAAATATTATACAAGCTTCTACCCCGCAAAAACCTCAGGATCCTGACCACAGAATAACCTTCCTGCCTACACACACAATATATATAATCTTATAACAGTATTGCCAAGGTATTGCGAACCTTCGCACTCGGGAAATGAAACTAATCTACAATATAAACAGATCTATATATACACCAGGTCTACAGTGGATGGGTATGGTGTGCATAATAAATAAATGAATCTGAAATCAATGGTGCATTTCAACCAAGCCACTTGTACAGCTCTATGTTCACCAGTCTCCGTTGTGTAGTGGTAAGACACTCGCCTGGCGTTCCGCGAGCGCTTTGTCATGGGTTCGTATCCTGGCCGGGGAGGATTTACTGGGCGCAAATCCTTAACTATAGCCTCTGTTTAACTCAGCAGTAAAATGTGTACTTGGTTGTAACAACGATTCTTCGCGGCGGGGATCGTATTCCAGGGACTTGCCCGAAACGCTACGCGTACTAGTGGCTGTACAAGAATGTAACTCTTGTATATATCTAAAAAAAAAAAAAAGGAATAAAAACATATAGCGGCGTCTCAGCACCTTCACACTTGTCACTGCCGTTGATATCCAACACGTGCAGTCTATCTAGTATTACTTGGGAAGGGACTCGTGCAAGTACCTAGACACTGGTTCATGCTGCAGTGGGACCATACTTTACATTAACATTACGCCACACGTCAGACCAGATAAACATAGGATACGCCACATCCGCAGCACGTATGGCAACAGGGAGCACGACGTTTCGGTCCGTCCTGGACCATTCTCAAGTGGTCGTCCCTTCACCTTCTAGTGTGTGGTCTGGTCAACATACTTTAGCTACGTTATTGTGACTCATCGCCTGCAACAGGGAGCATCACTTCATATACATGTTTGCATGACAGCCTTAAATGGCC